TGGTCAGCAAAGGTGTTATTTCTTGTAGTGATCATGGCTCGCTCACATGTCACGAGGCCAACACCTCGGCTACGTGACACGACCCTAAAAATATGTTCTCACAATTGCCTCCCAGATTCTATTACCTCTTCAACCTGAGGTGATGGAACCTATATCGTCTTAATTTTCTAACATGTTGGCTAAACAACATGCTAGAAATACTTCTCCGACCAAGATTATGACTTGTTAGCATCAAGAAACAAGGACTCAAGTGTCCACTCATCAAGAATCAAAACCAATATGTTCTTTCATCCAAGATTAACATCTTAATCGAGATCACACTACTAGCAGAGATTGTAACTCGCTAGTTCAAGAACATCAAGATTCAAAATTTGTCATCTCAAAACAAACTCAACCGTCATACCAACATCGTGATGTGTCAGAATATGTGTCAATTTTTAATTTGTTACACAGTTAATGATGGAGGGCCTAACTCTTTTGTCACATTATTGTGAATGAATTTGTGGGTCTAAATGTATGTATAGCGATTCTCGTTTAAACACAATCCGTTCATTATTTTGGATCTGGGTTTTCTTGTTTTGATGGTTATTCATGTCTTCTTTCATCTCATTCCTTGTGGAGTTTGGTTATGGGAATGTCTTGGTTGTATTTGAAACAGGTTAAGAGTTAGTTTTTCAAACTATTGCTGCCCTGTTTTTGGCTTGTTCACTCGAACGAACTTTTTTGCACTCGAGCGAACTTTGAGAACTTCCAGTACTTTTTCCAGTATGCAAAACTATTGAGAGTATGACATTCTTGGCTCGAGCGGTCTTGGCTCGAGCGGTCTTTCTTGCGCTCGAGCGATTTTTTGGAACTTTCAGTACTTTTACAGGCCTGCAAAAGTACTGGGATGGTGGTGTTCTTCGCTTGAGTGGTACTTTGTTCGCTCGAGCGGTCTCTCTTGTTGTGTCTAGTGGCTCAAGCAACCATTCCTGTGCTCGAGTAGTCTGTGTGTATATCATTTCTGAAAAGTCACCTTTTGGATCACTTTTTCATATCTCTCTCTCTCTAAACATTACATAACCTCAGAACTTCTCGCTCTCTCTCTAAAAACCATTTTTGAACCTCAAATACACCTTGATCTAGTGATTTCCTCACCCTAATCCCTTTGATAAAAAGAGAGACTACATCAAGGGCTTCGTTCTACTAGGAGAAGTTCGTATTTTTGGCTCCATGAGTTCTACCCATCTTTCCTTTGAGTCTTCTTCTTTGAGGTAGGGATTACTTTGACTCTTTATATGATTTTTAACTTAGTTATTTGTTTTTTAAAAAAAATATCGTGATTTGGAGATTTTGATAAAAATCTAGGGTTTTGGTTGGAAATCAAAAGAGGGGATTTCATAATGGGTTATTGAATATGTATATGGATATGTAAACGTGTTTGAGTTGTGATAAAATTGTGGATTTTATCCTTGGGGTTGATTTTTAAAGAAAAGAGATTTTACCCTAATTTGGGAACATTTAATTTTGTAAAGAGAAAAATGGAATTGACATTGGTTTTATGAAATTGGAACAATGATGATGATGGTGGTGGAGTTGGATATGAATTATCACTCCTATTTGGAAATGTTGGAAAGTATATATGTATTGAAAATTGTTTATTTGTTTAGAGATATCTATTTTGGGATATAGGTGGAGGATAGCTATAATTGTCGTAAAAATTACATGAGAATTAGGTGAATTGAAACTAATTTATCATCCATTTGGATTGAGCATTGTAATATATCTAACACATTGAAAATGTTTATTGTTTTGAGAAAAAAAAGGGGTGAATATCTTGGTAAATGTGGGTATGGAGTGTAGTTATGGTATTAAGTTGGCTTATGTGTCATTGGTAAAAGTCCAGAAATCTGCGCGAATAGGTGTCGAGCCTTCCGATTAATACTGATAAAAATGCTTGTAGCCTACTAGCAGACACATCCTAGAGATTCACAATGCTGTATCCGCCACCTTGTTTTCTGTTGTGACGTAAATGATTTTATGAGCTGTGATATAAACTTGGCATGACATGGTTTTGGAAAGAAATATAAAATGTTTTGACACGAGTATTGCATATACATTCATCTTATAACTCTGTTACGATTCATACACTATGTTGGAGTATCTTTACTGGGTTTTGGTTCACCCTATGTGGAAAACTATTTTCAGGTGCTGATGATATGCCTCCGCTAAGGCAGTAGCTTAGGGGGATTTGGAGTCAAGAGCTTCTCCTTTTGTTATCGTTGTATTTATTTTGTACAAGTTTAGGGCTTTATTTGTATTGAGTTTCAAACTCACTTTTATTATAATCAAGTACTGTCTTGGAAAGTTATAACTACTAGGGCAATTATATATTTGTTTAACTTTTATTTTATATCTTTTGTTTATAACACATGCTATAGGGCTTATAAATGTATAAATGCACGTGTTATTCTTTTATACACTTGAAGTATATGAATGGAAAGACTTTATTCTCAAATTATAATGTTGTTTAATTAATCATTACTCTCGTTTTATTATAATTATTTCGGGACGTTACAGTATGAACACTACAAGAAATAACACTTTTGGCAACAAACAAATTGGTCGCTAAAAGTCAATTTTTGGTCGGCAAAAATTATCCACGACCAATTTTTTTTGTCGCTACTTTGGTCGCCAATTGAGGGTCGGCAAAAGTAATTCGCGACTAAAATTTTGGTTGGTCGGCAAAAGTTGGATTTGCCGACTAAAATTTTGTTCGCTAAATATTTAATTACCGCGACTAATTCATTTTGTCGCTAAAACACTTTGGTCGCGAAAAGTGATATTTTCCCGACCAAATACCTTAGTCGCCAATTGACACATTTCGCGACCAAAAAGTTTGGTCGCCAATTATCACATTCAACGACCAAAAAGTTTGGTCACCAATTGTGACATTCCACGACCAAAAAATTTGGTCGCCACATTAACATTCGACACAATACATAATTCATTAACATTCGACACAATACATAATTCATTAACATTCGACACAATACATAATTCATTAACATTCGACACAATACATAATTCATTAACATTCGACACAATACATAATTCATTAACATTCGACACAATACATAATTCATTAACATTCGACACAATACATAATTCATTAACATTCGACACAATACATAATTCATTAACATTCGACACAATACATAATTCATTAACATTCGACACAATACATAATTCATTAACATTCGACACAATACAACTATTCTAAGTTTTCATTCACAAGTCACATCCATCTAGCATAACAAATTGAAACAATACATAATTCAGATTTACAGTATCAGGAAAATTGCTTAATCCACTAAGTTGCCTTGATAGCCAATCAAAAAGATCCTTGCGCCCTTCCGTGCCAAGCGTCGCATCCATCAAAGCAGTAGTGATGTAAGGCACCTAATAACACTTTAAGAATTGGAAAATTTATCAGAGAAGCATGATAAATATATAAAATTAATTAATGCATAAACGAAATACAGAAATTGGAACCCAACCATTTTGTCATAGAGAAATTGAATATCATATTTGTATATTAAGATGGATCAGCCATTAAGAGAGAAAACAACAACAAATGGTTAGATTGGCCATATCAACTGAATTATTCTAGTTGGGCTACCCAACAATAGAAGGGATCAGCATAAACTAAGGACATATTTGATTAACTGGCATACTGCAAATAATAAACCAAAATAAATAAATTCAATGCCCAAAAATAAAAAGCAACTCTAATGAAACTACTAGGTTCATTTGCTTCAATTTGAATTTGATCAATATAATGTCTACAAATTACTTTCTAAAAAAAAAAGACACAACGACAACAACAACAACAACAATAGCAAGAGATCAAACAAGGTTGAGCAATCAGAGAATTAACAATTGAATCAGCCAAGAGGGGTTTTCCATAACAATCGGCAAATAATAGGCTCCATTTGTTTCCAATTAAATAAAATAAAATAAAAATATTGAAAAAGCATCTAAAATCCATCTTAAAAAAAATAGAGACTATTTGAGGTTTTAAAGCTGAAAACCCAAAAAGAACCAAACCCCCTGTTTTAGAAGTGCACTAGCGTATGCCCGTGTCTGAAGGCATGGTATAAATAATGTTAGGATCAAATTATAATTATAATTTATACAACTACACAATTGAGAAAACTCAGTTTGATCAAACTTTATAGACTCACACATATATTCAAATATAAATCCATTGGTAGAAAAGAAATGATTATTAGATAGATAAATCCAATATAAATCCATTGGTATAAATCCATTATTTTCTTATCAACGATTGATCAAGGAAGCTTTTTCATTGGGTTCATTTGAGGAGGGTGATTTATAGAAAATTAAAGCAACAAACATGAGGGGGGTGCGGTAAGGATCATTAAAAGAAAAGTAAAAAATCATATACATCTATAAACAATGGAGGAGAATTTTTTGAAGAGGGGGGTGAGGTAAAACTAAGGCAACGGGTCGATTCTGACTGATTCGGTTTAATTTAGTCAAGATATATTCAAACAAAAATACTTTTCACAGCATTGACTCAAAAAACTAAAAACAAAACTCATCATTTTAGTCAATCTAAGGTGATTATAGATTTTATAGCAAAATAAACATTGAAGGAACGCTACGAGATTTTATTGAAAAAAAGAAAAAAAAACAGATGGGCTACCAAAAAAAAAATAGGGGCATGTACATCATATTTAGGAGGGGCATATTGAAAGACATTTCAAAAATCGTACGATTAGAATAATTTTTGAGTCATTGAAGGGACACATGTTAGATCCACCACTGTCTATAAACCCTCCAGAAAATTCACTAACGTGTACATGTACCTCTGCTTTGGAGTCAATCTCTGCAAGCATTTGTTTTATGTGTCGAGCAATAGAAAAGAAGACCTGCTCCAAATTGAGATTTGTTTTTGCACTCAGTTGGGAATAGATTTAGTAGTATCAGCTCACAGCATCATCTCCGGGGTGAAATGTAAAAGAGATAAGATCTAGGGAATCTAGGGGCACTGGATATTTCCCAGGCCAATGCACACATGTTTAGCATATTAGCATGCCCATAGTAATAAATTCTATCAAAAGGGAAGGCAACCAAAAACACACTGAAGTAGTTCCACTGTGCTCGTGTGATCTAATAAAATTGTGCGAGCTAGCTAGAACTCACGTGCATTCTGGAATCACATATTCTACTACTGACTTACATTCTCAAAACAAGCTTTAGTTGGATTCAATTGACTGACTTTAGTTGAATTCAAATAAATCCAATGAAAAAGCACACATGCCTTTAGTTGGATTCAATTCTAAATGCACACATGCCTCACATGCAACGGAGAATTCAAAAATGTTGAGTCCCATAAATAACCACCTAGATTTTTCAGAACGGGCAACGTTTATCTTCATTCTAACAACACGGATGCAAAAGAAAATGCATGCATAGATATATACACACACACATAGGGGAATTTACCTGAGGGAGGAAAGAAGCGAATTGGGGTGTGGGGATAAGAGAAAAGCAAAAAAAAAGTTGGAGAAGAGCCCAATATACTAACCTGCCTCAGGCTGAAACACCTCCTGTTTTTCATCATATACATTTGCAAAACAAAAGTTGAACCAAGGATCAAATTCATGTATCCAAAGGCTTAGAATGGAAATATTTGAACAAAGCTGAAAGAAAGCAAAGCTTCCTCGTCACACTAAATAAGGAACTTGGCAGCCAACACCTCATTTCATGAATGCCTATATTCAAATCAAATCATGTCATGCAGTTTGACCCAAATAAGATAATGTGCTAAAATAGCATGTGCTATTTTAGCACATGACAAACAACTAAGTCACTTAACTGTAATCACCGTTCTCCATCAGCTTCATGGCATCTTCAGTCAGCTGGTCAAAGAGTTGCTTTGTTTCTGCAGGCATCTTTTCTTTTTTGTTATTTGAAGTTCCTTTCAGCCTTCTCAAAGCTCGTAAAACCTGTGGACGTAGTATAGTCAACCTCTAATGTGCAGTATAAAAATATAACAGAGAAAATAATGTTCAACAGCGACAACAGACCATTCAACCAAAATAGCAGTTGATAGATGATAAATTTCAGATAGTTGGGACAGACAGTGATAATCATTCTGCACACTGAAGAATTTCAATTTGAAATATAAAGCAGGAATTTTCTTAGTCATCTAAACAATATGGTGACTCACACTTTCCCAATATGTGTAACTTGTTATGGGTCTCTCCCAACTTTGTCTCAAACTCTCTTTCTCTCTCTCTCCCTCCCTTCTCAGAATGGCAATGGGTCTGTCTTTCACTCCAGACCTCAACTCAACAAACAACAACGGTGGAGGAAAATGGGACTGATACAATACACCAATTTATTAGTAACCCAAATAAACTCCAAATTCAGAAAAATCGAAATCAAAACAGACCGAGATGCGAGTTTTGAAGAACTAATCTAGGTTGATCCAAGATGCGACCGAGAGTTATCTGAGGCAGCAGAGATTGTCGAACTCTAACAGAAATTCAGCTGGAAATCAAGCTTAGATGAACTTTGGAAACAGTAGTATTGCCACCGTTAGCAGTCATGGAGAAGCTGAAGTAGAATGTTCCGTACCTTTGTCTACAAATACATCAGCATCAACCTCAGGAACATAGAGATAAAGGCAGGATTTCTCTGTTGAAGTCGTGGATAATTTTTGTTGTACATTTGTCCACGTTTGCAGACTTGTACATAAAGAAGAGAGGTAGAAACTGGACCATAGTGTGTAGAAGCCGATGATTCTGCCGATTAATATGTATTGTTATCCTCTCTACAGTAATAGAAGTGGACACCAGTGTATGGGAATGGAACTGGCAGTGACTAGGGAGTGGTTTGAAGCTATTTAGTTGTCTTTTGGGGAGCTCAATCTATTCTAAGATGTAATTAAGCTACATATATATGTTTTGGTTTGTTTTATTTTTATTTTTTGTTCACATTTCATTGAAATAGAAATTGCTTGCAGGTAATTTTTATAGTTGTTTTACTTGCAATGATTATATAGCATAAGTTGAAATCCTTTCATTTTTGCTGAAAATATTAGTATGCCAACCCATGAGGGTCAGTTCAAATGGTGAGTTGCCAGATTCCATTTAGTTCTTTTTATATATATATATATATATATATAAACACAAAAACACAAAAACAAAAACAAAAAGAAAAATTAATTAGTGCTCTCCTATTTTGACTTCACCAGAGCTTTTGAGTGTTTGATAATTGATTTTTTTAAGTGATGTTTTGATTTTTTATGAAAATAGTGGGAATAATTTGACAAATTGTAATACTTTTTCTGACTATTTTAGATCTTCTCCGTTTGGGTGGTGTTTAATTCATTATAAACATGATATAAAAAAGAAAAGAAAAAAAGAGAAAATTGTAAGATAAATAAATCATCCTTTGCTATTATAAATTAATGCTCATTTCATAGAGGTTAACCATTCCATTCTATTTCATTTTCATTTTATTGAACCAAACGGTGCTTAAATCCTTTCAGATATCAAATAGAATGGCTTCAATGGATGTGCCATTGCATTGATAGAACTAACCAATTTCTTGGAATTAAGCTTCACAAAAACTACATAAAAAGACCAAGAATAACTGTCACATTCCTCAATAAATAAATAACTAAATAATAAAAAAAGCAACATTGTATTAATAGAATTGGAGGTAAAGAAAAGGATGACCAATTCAACATAACAATTGTCATATCTATTTTAAGGTTGGATGCCAAAGTAGGAACTTATAAGCATATCCTTTGATATAACACCTATTTTAGAAAACCTCTTGGGTTCAATTTTAGGTTGGTTTGGGTGGCCTTTTTCTCTCCACGACCCTCCATCAAGGCCATACCCACCAAATACAGGGTGACTGTTTTTGCATTTGTCACCATCACTCTTCCTCCTCATCAACCAAATAGATGAAGAGGAGGATGAAACTTTAAAACCTAAATTCTTGATAATCAGAAAATTAGCAAATATCAGCAACTTAGATTAGTTCATGTGTAGAATCGTTGTCTTGATCATCTTTTTCATTTCTTCTAAAGCATTTCATTATTAGAATTGGAAACCCATTTGCAAAAGGAGACTATTTTTGTCAATATTAGGCCAAGATGAATGATCTTTTCTCGGGTTCATTAAAAAAGTACACGGACCTCAAGCAACAGACCTACCTTGATGATTTTCAAAAGCAACAACTAATTTAAAAGAGTGCAGAAATGCGGGTATCAGTTTTTTTTTTCTCTCATAATCATTTTGTCAAATAGTTGGTTCACATGACAAAGCAGTGGTGTTCATACACTTAATGATGATCTTCACCACAACCATATAGACAAACCAGTTCAAGAACATGAAATAAACCTAGATTGAGAGAAAGAATGGCAGCCCAAATTAATACAGCATTCTAAAAAAAAGAGGAAATAAAAATAAACCCCAAATTAAATGACCCACAAAGAACTGAAAATACCAAAAAAGAGGAAGAGAGACCAACTTGAGGAGACTCTGTCTTCATAACTGAGAAGAATGACAAAATAATCAAAATGGGTAGCTTTTGCTTTTGAACAATGAAGTAAATACATATATGTGTGTGTAAATACAAAATTGTATCCAAAATTATGAGACTGACACTCAAAATTATGAGAACTGACGAACTTACCTCTGTTGAATTGAAGAACAATGGGTTTGAAGGGAGCAAAGAGAAGCGGGAGGGGTGCGTGTGCGAAGGGTGGGTGATCTTCAATGGCGGCGATCCAACAGCCAAAAACAAACACAGAGAGAGAAGGGGAGACGCAACACAACATTAAAAAACACCAACTCCAAATTTAAATGGTTAGTATGTAGGAGTTACGAGTATCTATATGTGATGTATGTCAAGTGAGGGTGTCAAGCATTACTTGTTCCTTTAAGTGGATGAGAGAGAGAGAGAGAGAGAGAGAGAGAGAGTGTGTGTGTGTGTGTGTGTGTGTGTGGTAGCACATTCACAGCCAAGCATAAGAGAAAAGATAGTAAACTCTATCTTGGATGAGATATCTGGGTTGTGGATTACTACTGCCTGGCTGCTTCTCATCTATTTACCCAACTGGATAATATTATATAATACATATGCACACACTCATAGTCCATGATTCTTGTGGGGTAGTGTGTGTGGGACTCAAGACAGATTGGCCTCAAGTTATGAATGCCCTCAAGTCCCATCACAGATTTGAATGCCCTCAAGTCATGGGTCCAATATTTAATATAACAGCTAGTGCTAGTACTTCTCCTACAACATCAGGCCTGCCTTGAGCGTCCTTCCCATCCAATCCAATAGTCTAAATGACCTTCCAAATGTTTTCTCTTTTTTTTTTTGAAGTCTTTAGTCAAGTTGTACACGCACATCACATAAATGAAAAGTTGTGGCCATTGTGATTTCACAGGCATCATCAAACACACGTCCCTCTCTCTCTCTCTCTATATATATATATATCTTTGTGTGAGAGTGGGAATTTTTGGGTAAAGTAGACCAACAAGGTTCCATTTGATGTTTGCAAAGTCAAGTCAATTAACTGTTTTTAATAAATCCTAGGCCATTCAAGAGCAGGCCTAATTTCCCATTGAAGTGCAATACATCCATAAGGATTATTTAAGCCACTGGAATAATGAAACATTTTCGGCTCATTTTTCAATGTTCATTACTAAAATGAAACATATTGCTAAATAAAATTTGAGTATCATCTAAACTTTCACAGACACTTATAAATTAGATTCATAGACTCGACTCAACTCGACTCAATGACGCATCAGACTTGACATAAGATTTAAGCAAATAAGAATGAAGGCGGCATACCAAGTTGTTTCAGAATGTCAGTGAACGTAGCCTGCAAAACATAGGAAGAAAAGAAGAAAACGCTGGTTATCCCTGGTACAATATAAAATGAAAAAAAAAATCTAACTAACTAATTTTCTAACCACAACAAGAAACCGGAAGAAGAAATAAACATGAAAAGAGTTGCTATTCTTCATAAAGAAAATGCTCGTTTCGATTTGCTCTTTTATGCCTTCATGCTAAAAACAAGAAGCATAGCAAAAAACTCAGCATGAGTTTAATTACAAGCAAATTCTAGTAGTGCAACTTGTCCCTCAGTAATTTCATAAGAACATTGGTATGGTATTGACAACATTTTTAGATTTCTTTAGAAAAGACTCCATGTCATAATCTTGCTATTATGCCATTTTTTATGGCAAAGAGGCTGCTGTATATGAGCTCACCATTAGGTGCAAGGGGGTATATCTAGAAGATATATGGTAGTTCAGCCATAAAAACAAACAACAAATGTGGAGGTAGCTTATTTGGTTGCTGTTAAGAAATTCTTTCACTACAATTAGAAAAATGTGAAATTCTTGCCGTGTTGAAGTCAACAATTATAAAGAGATCAAAGTATACTAATCCTTCCCTTCATTTTCTCTCTTTTTTATTCTGCACTCTCTTATTCAGGAATGGAATATTGTTAATATTATTTAAGGTTATCCCTTACTTCACTATGAACACAACTTCATGTACAGCTTTGCCTTTTGCTAACAGTAATTGTAACAAAGACAAAGGTGGCTCATATCATGCAAGAGCAGAATCAATGTTTGAATTTATTTTTCTAGACATAGTTCTTTGGAAAATAACTGAACACTTCAAGGAAATGTTTTTTTTTTGGGGGGGGGCTTTTTAAATAGATTTCAAGTCAGTATGAATGTTTTCTTATTACTAATAAGAGAAAACTGAAAAGAAAGTACAACGAGATTGATGAAGTGGATGATTATTGGGCAAACCAAGAAAAAAGCCTAAACAATGACAACAGCAGGGGAATGGTCAGAGATACTAGAAGGCAGAAACATAGTAGTAGAGGCAGGGAAATGGTCAAACTAAGATTCATTGACCAAGACTCAATCAATTTTTGTCGCTATGTAGTCACCACCATTCCTTTTGTTAGCCCAAGTAAACTGACAACCACCATAAGACAAGTCAACAAGATCAGAATCAAGGATATAAGAGTTAAATTCCTCTTTCTCACTATTCTAGTTCAAACACCCCCCAAATTTCTTGAAGCTATATCTGATGACAACCACATAACATAGGCCCATCTCATTGAGGAGGCAATGTATTATCATAAAAACAATGACAATAAAAAGAGGCAACAATTTTCCATTCACATTATTAAGCCAACAAAACATTATAAACTGTGTATTAAATTCATTGACAACTCATTTTATTCCAATCCTTTCTATGAAACAAACACAACCTAAGTGTTGTCTAATTTCTTAGGTTTGAATCGCATGATAAATCATGATGCATTAACTTATACAGACCTTGATAACCAAGATTGTGAGATACTCAAAAAGTTTAGGTAGTTTTATAAGATTAAGCATTTAAAATTTTAAAAATAGGTTAGAGAGATGGGGTTTTGCATCCACACTAAGTCATTGATTATGCAAAGAAGGTAACCATTATAAATTTAATCTCTCTCTCTCTCTCTCTCTCTTTTATTTTTCTTTTATTTTTCTTTTGGTTTTGATCAGCAACAAATAGTAGTTAAAAGTAAACATGGTCACTTATGTCTAAAAGTAGAAAGCATTTTTTGTTTAAAAACCAATGCGTCACTCTCTGAACCTCATCAGACATTGTTTTATCTTCAAGATTCTTCATTGAAACTTCAACATCATAAGCCAACCTCAAGCATGCCAAAAGATTAAGTCAAAATAAAATCATAAAATCACATGTACCACAACTTACAAATAATTTTAAAATTCTATATACTCCCAAGTCCTATATATTCTTCTTGATTATCTAAATCTAGGATAACAAAATCCTTTCCATCTAATTCCATATGACTTTTCTAAGAGAATGATCCCATCAAATATTCTAATCCTAATGAGTACGCCTTGTACACAAATGATTCATGGCACGTGCTTTGATTTTAGCAGAAAAGAATATCAACTATCATGAAAGAATAAAACATATTTAGCACAAAAATCTTTAAAAACCAAATTATGAGAAAGCACCCCAAAAATCTTTTGAATTAAGCAGGTTTGTAAGAGCACAGGAACTGTAATAATATCCCTCTCCATGCAATTAATAAACTACACCCATTTGTCAGAATAGTAAGCCCATTTTCATGTAGGCCACATAACCAAATTGATCCATGGTCACCTGTTTCAATTAATTACATGTTGCCCATTGTCCCATTAAGAATCATTGTTAAGTTCATCAACATATATCATAGAATAGAACTGATAGCCAAAGGTGAAAAGATAGTACCATCAATCTTCTATAAGGGCAAATCAAATTTAGTTGTCACATCTAGTTGCTAGGTCTCTATACACACAAAACTCTAGCTTCGATGATAGACATAACAAAAGCATGTTAAAATATATTTATCAAAATAGACAAAAATGCAATGGATATGCTCAACAAATCAAGGGGAGTCCAACAAACATGAAGAATAAAACTTCAATGAGTAAATTACTAATTCATTGATTCTTCAGAGTAAAACCGAAGAAATTTTAAAAATGTGAAACCCTAGGTTAATCAGAACAATAGACAAACAAGATTAAACGCATCACCGAAATTCAGAAAACATTCGATATTCTCACCAAAATGAAGCTAAATCTGTTTGCTGAGACGCTTCCTGAGCTTCCACTACTTGTGCTTGTTCATCTCCCTCTTTCTCTTCTTCTTCACGCTATCAGCCCAGATCATCATCGGAGTGTCGCTAGCCACGAAAGGCACAAACCCAGTTGAAGAAATAGGGTTTAGAGAAAACCCAAATGGAAAGCTTGGAAAGATCGGGGTCGAAAGAGAAGAAACCGAAACCGAAACCGAATCCGAATCCGAATCCGAATCGAGATTTACATTGTGGTTGTGGGGATGGAGTGGTTTGGGTTCGGTGAGATGGAGAAGAGTGAAGAGAGGAGGTATGAGATTTGGGGGATGTAGTTTATTAAAAGTAGGGATAATATATTTGACAGATTTGCTTCGTGAGTAGTTTCTAGACAAGAGAAGCCATTGAAGACTCGGGAAGAACTGAACAACAAGTTCATATACAAATTTGTACAAGATTGAGAGAGAGAATACAGAGAGAGGGAGAGGGCGGATCAACATATAGAGAGACAGAGAGCGACCTGGAGACAGAGAGGAGAGACGGTCATTTTTAATTTTTTTTTTCTGTTTTGCTGGTACAAAACAACGTCGTATAATATAAATGGCGACCAAATTTTTTTTTGTCGCAAAAAATTTTCATTTCCCCCCTCTATGTTTCAATTTTCCCTCCCAAACTTTTGGCGACCAAAAGACAATATTAGTCGCAGAAAAGGTACCTTCGCCAACAAATTTTTTTAGTCGCCAAATCTCAATTAACAGCAACTAAAATATTAGTTGCTAAAAATATAATTTGGCGACTAATTTTTTTTGGTTGCTGAAAATAAGTTTTTGGCGACCAAATTTTTGGTCGCCAAAAAATATGTGACCTTCCGCGACCAAATTTGTAGTTGGTCGGCAAAAGCATACCACTTTCTGCGACCAACTCATTTTTTGGTTGCCAAAATATAACCTTCTGCGACCAATAATATTTGGTCGCCAAAATTAATGATCATTCGCGACTAATTAATATTTGGTCACCAAATGTCATTTTTTTGCGACAAAAATTTTTTTGATCGACAAAAGTGGTCGCAAAATCTTTAAATTCTTGTAGTGGAATCTCTAACATTATTCTTATTACATATATGGGAAAAACATTTATGATTTTTATGATTTTTTTATTTCAATTAAAAATACTTATTAGTGTGACTCATAAGTATCGAATGTCACTATTGTATCTATGTACTTTTATTT